CTTTTCTCTAGAACACTTATTAAAACACACACACACACAAACTTATGATTGTTCCTTATTTCCCCTAATAAATTATATACTCCCTCTGGAAAACATACCCAACTTATTTTTGTATTCCTTTCTTCCTTTCATAGGTAGTTGAAGATCTTAATAATACATGGCAACAGCATATTATAATGACCAAGAGCGCAGATTCTGAAGACACACAGCTTTAGACTGAATCTTAACATTGCCATTTATTAGCTAAGTGACCATGGGCAAGTTACTGGACCTCTCTCTGTACTTTAATATCTGTATGTATAAAATAGAGATAGTAATAGTAGATATTACATAAGGTTGTCAGAGAACTTGCCTTATCACTTCTCAGTCTTTTGGCTAAGATCAAGTGTAGGACTAGGCTTAGAAAAGTATAAGCACCATAAAAGTGTGTATTAAATGCAATGGAAAAACAATGTGTATATTCTGTGATAGTTGAGTAAAGCTTTATGAAAAGCAAAATGTCAAAAGCAAAGTCAGTCTCTAGGTCCAAAACAGGTATATACGAATTCTTCCTATCTTCTTATGTATGTCCCAAATGTTAGGTGTGTCCTTTAAAATCTTGCTTATTTTAACAATAGTTTTGTTTTACTTTGACATTTGATATTCTGAGAAAATATTGAGTTCAGCTTCCTGTGGCAATAGACACCTAAATTAGTCTCCTTGCCTCCAGTCTTATCCCCTTTAATCTATATTCCAGAAGAGTAGTATAAATTACTCTAAAATGCAGATCTAATGTTTTCCCACTGCTACAAACCCTCTTCATCCCAGTCCCTTAAGATCAAGATTAAACTCCTTAGCATCTCATATAATATTGTCCTAATATGGCCCCAGTCTAGTCTTCAACTTCATTTCTCAACACTTCTTACCACAAAACCTAATCATCACCTGGCCACACCAAAAAGGCTTTTTGTATGTCATTTCTTTCACCTAGAACATTCCTGTATTAATCTGCTAGGGCTCCCATAACAAAATACTACAGAGTGGGTAGTTTAAACAACAGAAGTTTATTTTCTCACAGTCCTGAATGCTAGAAGTCCAAGGTCAAAGTGTTGGTAGATGTGGTTTCTCCTGAGGCTTGCAGATGGCCACCCTCTTTCCATGTGTTCTCACATGATTTTTCTCTGTGCACACATCTCCGGTGTCTCTTTTTATGTCAAAAGTTTCTCTTATAATGACACCAGTCATAACAGTGTATGACCAACTCTACAGGCTTCAGTTGAACTTAATCACTTCCATAAAGGCCCCATTTCCAAATATAGTCAAGTTCTGAGTTCATGGAGATTCAGGGCTTCAACATTTAACAAGAATTTTGGAGGGACAGAATCCCCTAACAACCACTTCTCCTTTTCTTTCTCCAGGCTAATTCCCATTTGTTTTTCAAAGACTGGCCCAAGCCTTCCCACCCTAGGAAGATTTCAGTGCCCTTTCTCTGTGTTCCCACAGTACTTCTGTATGATATTTTCTGTGTGCTACTGTCCTATTACCACCCTATCCCAATTGCCTCTTTCCCTCTTCAGACTGTATTTAAGAGCTAAGATTAAATCCCTTGCACTTGGCACAGTGTCTGACCCCTTGAAGGTATTTAATAAAGATTTGATTAATGAGAGAAAGTATGAAAAAACATAGACTTGAAGACAGGCAAATGTGGGTTCAAGTCCTGGCTCTACCATTTAATTATCTTGTGACTTGGGCAAGGCACTAAATGCTGAACTTCCATTCTATGTAAGATAGTTGTAAAGAAAAATGACCTAATTATAATTTTTAAAATAACATCCAGTTTTGGGGTTGGTACATAGTAGGTACTCAATAAATGTTAAGAGGAAAGATGATGAGATTGCCTGGGGTTGACACCCAGTTCCACCACCAAGTAGCTGAACGGCTTCAGGTATGTTTACTTATCCTCTGCTTCAGTTGCCTATCTATAAAATCATCTCTTCCATCTGACTTATTTCACTTATTATAATAGTCTAAATATCCACCCATGTTGTCACAAATAGTTATATTTCATCTTTTTTATTAATAGCTGAAAAGTATTTTAGTGCATGTATATACCACATCTTCTTTATCCAATCATCTGTTGAAGGACACTTGGGTTGTTTCCATGTCTAGCCTACTGTAAATAATACTGCAGTGAACACAAGGTACATATATTTTTACAAATAAGCATTTTTAAATTTCTCAGGTAGATATTCAGAATAGGGATTGCTGAATCATATGGTAGTTCTATTCTTTGAGGAACCTCCATACTGTTTTCCATTGTGGCTGTACCAATTTACATTCCCACCAGCAGTGTGTGAGGCTCCCTTTCTCCTCATCCTCTCCAACACTTATCTAATTAATAAGAGCCATTCTAATGGGTGTGAGGTAGTATCTCACTGTGGTTTTGATCTGCATTTCACTCATAGCTAGTGTAATTCAGATGGGAAAGGACTAGAACAAATAACCACATGATTTTAGTCATATGTGGGATATGAAACAAAACACAACGAATGAACAAACTCCTATGATACAGACAACAGAATGATGATTACCAGAAGGGAAGTGGAGGGAGGACACAGAAAGTAAAGGGAGTAAAATACAAGGTGACAGGAGACTAGATTTTGGGTGGTAAGCACACAATAGAATGTAAAGATGTTGTATTACAGAGTGGCACACCTGAAATTTATATAATGTTATTAGCCAATAAACATAATTGAAAAAAACTACCTCATTGTGCTTCTGTGAGAATAAGTTAATACAGGTAAAACATTTAGATGGGCATCTAACACATAGTAAGCATTATATAAATGTGTCCTATTATTATATGAACACTGCAGGTCTGAAGAAATGATTGGAAACTAGGCATTTAGGTCTTTCAATTATTAAGTCATTTTATTTTTATTTATTTATTTTTGTGGTTCGTGCCCCTACTGAGAACCAAACCCGGGACTCTCTGGTCCGTAGGTCAACGCTCAACCGCTGAGCCAAACTGGCCAGGGCTATTAAGTCATTTTAAATGTATTATTTGAATGCCTCAGATTTCGTACTAACCAAACAGAATGATGGTAACTAGAGGTTCAAAAATTGGCACAGATGATATAACAGAGCTCAAAATAAATATGAAATAGCCCTGGACGGTTTGGCTCAGCGGTTAGAGCATCCACCTGCGGTCCGGAGAGACCCGGGTTCGGTTCCCGCTAAGGGCATGTACCTCGGTTGCAGTTTGTCCCCGGCCCTGGTTGGTCGTGCGGGTGGCAGCCACTCGATGTGACCCTTTCACGTCGATGTTTCTCTCTCTCTCTCTTCCTCTCTCTCCCTCCCACTCTGTCTGTACAAAAAATGAAAAAATGTCCTCGGATGAGGATAAAAAATAAATAAATAAATAAATAAATAAATATGAAATAAGTTATCGCCTGTCTCATTCCTTATATTGGTTTTTAACATATACGGGTATCGATGTAAAAAATTTAAGAAAAGTTTTTCTACTCTCAACAGATGTTGGCTCAACATCTATAGATATTAAGCATTTTCAATAAAGAATAATGCCCTTGGCTCACATTTTCAATTGCAGATTCATTAAAACTTTGAACCAGAAAGGTTTTAAGATGAACTCCAATTCTCTATCTTACATAAGTAAACTGGGGTGGATTTGTAATGCACTTTTACACTCTTAATGAGCAGCTCTTTAGAGGACAGAAATGCAAGCAGAGAGAACAACTTGTTTAAAAGTAGGGGTTTAGACTTATTCTAGATATCCAAAGTATGCAGAAACCAGTATTGGGAAATAACACTGGAAAATGCCTTTAAGATAATTCCTGAAGTAGGTACAAGTTACCTGACTTGTAACTTTGAAGCAAGACAAATCTAGGTTTGAATCTCCACTTAATGTCTTTGAGCCTCAGATTTAGTGCAAAGGGGTTATTATAGTGATTAAGTAAATGTATGCAGGCTCATAAATGGGGTGCCTGGAGGATTCAAAATATGCAAATGTTTGTTCTTTTTCACCCCTTCCATCATAAGAATAAAAACCTGTAAAATAAAAAAACACTGTCTTCCATAAAGTGTGTGTTTGCTGAATGTCTGAGACTTGTTGAACATTACTTAATTTTGAAAATAGAAGGCTGGATGAATGCTGAGATAATAAAGTATCTTCATCACTGCCCTTTCTCACCAACTGTCCTTCACAATTTGTTCCGAAGTCACGTGACAACCATTAGCTATCTGGATACCATCGTAGCTCAGACATCCAATTCTACAGCAAAGATTTGAAGGTCGGGGGAAAATTTACAGAAATATATACATATATATATTTTTTTAAGAACTGAAAGAGTTCATTTCATTTTATTCTTATGGTCCACTCTGGCTTGGTGAAATGCCACTGAACAGTTACTGGTTTTTTTTTGTTTTATTTCAAATGGCGCAGAAACTGCAGGTTTACATAAAAGGTTTGTGGGCAAGTAACTGAATCCACCACTATTATGACCCAGAAACCTTTTAAGTGTTTGAAAGATTACCTTTATGCCAGCACTAAAAAGGACATCTGCCAATATCCATTATTTGCGCTTGAAACTAAAGTCAACTGTTTCTTTTGAAAGACGTGTAATGTCTGGCTCAAAACCAATCGCAAAAAAGTCCAACTGAACTCAACACAGAAAGAGCTCTTTCAATACCCTCTCCTCTCGGTCACATCACAGATGGCGACCGAGGATTAAGGTTTAATTACCCGCGGGACACTAAAGCCGCTCATTATCAGGGCTGGGGGCTCGGAAGTGCCCCGCAGGGGATGAGAACGCCGCCAATCCTCAGAAGCGGGGTGAGCCCGAAGGCCAGAGCGCGGACCCTGCCCTCCGGTCCCAGCCTTCGCCTCGGATGTCCGCGCGTGACCTCGGAGGACCGGGAAGAGCGCGGAGCTGGAAGGCTCCTCCGCGTTCAAGGGAAGTCGGCAAGGGCAAGTTCGGGTCGTGCCCGGGAAGGTTACTCACAAGAGTGGCCCGAAGTCCTCCGTCCTCCGCCCGCGTTCCCTCAAGAAGTTTCCAAAGCAGCGGCAGCCTCCCAGCAGCAGCCAAGCTGCCGCCGCCGCCGCTGCGGGTAACCGCCGGGCGTGGCAGGGACGGGCGGGCGACTTCACAACATCATTACTCGGCGACTTCAGTTTTGCAGCAACACCGGATCCCCACGCAATTGGAGAAGAGCGAACAAGACCCACTCTCCCAGCAGCCTCTGCGGCACCAGCCCACGACTTGCTGGGAATTGTAGTTTTCGGTCGACTCCGTCGCCTCTTCCTCACGAGTTGCAGCTTCGCCTCTGCCCCGCCCCCAACCTCGAAGGCCCCGCCCTCTAGCTGCCTGGCCCTGGGGCAGGGGGCGGGGCCGAGGCCCAGGTGACAGGGTGGGGCGAATCCCGTCCCGACCGATAGCCTGGGACTGGGGCAGAGTTCTTGGCTGACCGCCCCAGGCCGGGTCGCGCCGGCCTCCTGCGCCCCGCGGCCCGCGCTGGGAGCGGGCTTTGTGCGCTTGCCTTGCTCCTGGGTGGACCGGGCTCCCACGCCCGCCAGGCCCCGCACCGCTGGCCGCCTGAGGAAGAGTCCTGGCTGCGATCACCTCCAGGGTAATGAGGGGAGGCCGGGTCCGGGAGGGGAAAGTCTAGGGGCCGGTCCGGGACGGGAAGGAAGGCTGCTGGGTCTACGCACGCCGCGGGAAGCCCGAGGCTAGAACTCGCCGCCGCGTCCGGAGCGCGGCCCCTGTCCCCGGCGCAGCTCCGGCTCTGCCCCGAGCCCCTGGCCGCGCGCTGCCAGAGGCACCTGCGTGCCGGGAAGGCGGTGCCCGCCGGGGTCGGCGGCGCCAGGTGCGCGGGTCCGAGCTGCCCGCGGCGCGCTCTCCCCCCAGCTCCCACCTTTAGCCGCGCTCGCGGGCCTGGTGAAGTTTCCAGACAGAAGACACCCTCTGGCCCGGCCTCTGTGTGCCACCTTCTTCGAGTTTGCTACACGCCCCCCCATCCCATCCCCAAAGCAGGATGAGGAAGGAACTTCTTACGAAAGCAAATGTCCGTGCTTCGTTTTGTCCTCAGTATTTTAGTTCAGTGTGTTGTGTTTTGCCCTCGTGGGTTTGTTATGTTGTGTTTTGCCCTCGTGGGTTTGTTATTTCCTCAAACTTGATCAGGATTTGTGACACAGCGCCTACCCAGCGCAGAGCACACAGTAAGCGTTCAGGAAATGTTTTTTTGAAAGCCTGAGTCACGATACTAAGTTTGGAAAATTCTACTGAGCTGTGCGTTGCTATAATTTTTCAGACATTATGGATATTATGGGTTCCCAAGATAACTTTGAAAATTACAGTAATTTTAAAGCTCAGGAAATAGTTAAATAAGGGTTTTTATGTATTAACTATAACAATGGACTGCTGGATGCTTAAATTGACTCAAAACCCGAGTTCTGTAAATAGAAACAGCTGATTTTCACATAAAGTGTCACCCTTTAAGATTAAAACCTTTAGACTACCATTCTATTGGACAAATTTAAATTATTTATAAAACATTATCCTAATTAGCTTTTTAGATACAGGTGCAAGGGACTACATTAATGTATTTGTGAATACATTTAGGAAATTAGGTCTCTAAAATATAAATTTTTAAGCAGTATTTATGTTCATACCTAGTGAAAGCATGTACAGAAAATATAACAGCAAATCACCCCCCTCCACACACACAACTCCCCACCCCTTACTAGATGCAGCTGCTGCCTTGACCTCAAAATGTCTTGTAAAATTATCTCTTAACCGACTAGCATATCTTAAGGAAAAATCTCTGGGATTAAACCACCCCATGGGGACAACCCCTTTAGTACTAACAGTTCTCACAAATTGTGCCTGTTTCTTCTGAGTTTTTCTGAAAAATGGGTAAGGTAATGAAGTTTAAATTTTTTGTTAAGAAAGAATTTATATTAAATGGAAAAGGCAGAAAACAAAATCCTAATAACCAGAAAATTCAGTTCATCATGACATTCCTAGCCTTTCTGCTTGTGGAAAGATAAGTTACAAGTGGTCAGGACCTTATCTACCCTGTCAATGAGGGTCCCCAGTGCCCAGCACAGTGCCCAATCCATAGTGGCCATTTACTAACAACTGTGAAATACTGGGCTGTTTCACGTAACAATATGACTTTCTGTTTATAATGGTTTCTTCATATGCTTGCATGTTTCCTTAGAATAGATTACTAGAAGTGAGAATTTTACTGAGTCAAAAGGCACAAACATTTTCATGCTTATCAAAATATTGCCAACTATCCAAATGAGCCATACCATTTTGCACTGGTATATTAGAGTGTGCCTTTCAGAGCAGCCTCTCAAGCTCTTATATTGATACAGTGTTTGGTCGTTATGGGGACTTTCAGATGAAGTATCTCATTGGATTTTAGTCACCCTGAAAGGTGGGCAGGGCAGGCATTGCATTCCTCCTTTTGTAATATAGCAACTTCCAGCACCTTAAATTGATACAGTAAATGACAGATGACAATATAATCACACTTTCAGGTTCTTCTTCCTCCCATTCTTTACCTTTGGTTTGTAGTGACTATCCTGAATAAATTCATGTCTTTCCTTAGCAATAAAATTGAGTCCCGCTCAATAATATCTATGGTTTACAGGATCTTCCTTTTCTTTTATCATTTTGCTTAGATATTTGCAGATGCTTTTATCAAATTTGAGGACTTCATTAAAATGAAATAATGAAATACAATTTATATGAAAGAAAAGAGTGTTGATTAGGTATAAGGAAACACCCAGGCAATAGCAAGTTTAGAACATTACTACCCTTTCTATTAGGAAAGATCTGGAAACTTTTGGTGGTGCTTTTGTAGCTCCTTGAATCTGAAGAAGTTACTATTTTAAATCTCTGAATCTGTTGCAGTCCTCATAAACTATTGAGCTTAATACTCTATTAGTGAAAGTGGACAGGAATTATTTGCATAATAATCTATGTATCTTTCTTATCTGTCAATAAATTCCAAGAATAGAATTGGGAACTAAAATTAATAAGGTAAAAAATATTCAGCCTACAAAAAAATGTTATTTTCACATGAAAACTTAAAAATTTTTTTCTCTTTTTTTAGATATGTGGCAACAAGAAAATATTATTAATTCTTAGTCTGTTACTGAACCTGATTCTTTCCAAACTCACTGGTCAGGGAACCCAAATGATTTAAAAGATAATAAATCTAATCAGGAAGCTTTGAAAGCTTTAAAGTTTACTTACAAGTGGAATCATTGGACTTCTTGGGGCACCACTTATATCAAAAGTGGGTCCAACATTGTTTTTCTATATTGTTTGCTTAGGGTTCTTTTAAAAAGTACAGAAACTCTGGCTGATCAGCCCGTGGACCAATGAGTCACGGGATCGGTTGTGGTCAAGGGCGTGTCCCTGGGTTGTGGTTCATCCCCAGCCCTGGTCCAGGTCATGCGGGAGGCATCCAGTCCCTGTATTCCTCTCACTTTGATGTTTCTCTCTCTCCTTCTCTTTCTCTCTCTTCCTCTCTCCCTCCCTCCCACTCTACTTGAAGATAAATGGAAAAATATCCTCGGGTGAGGATTAAAATATAATAAATAAATAAATAGTACAGAAAAGAGCCCTGGTTGGTTTGACTCAGTGGTTAGAGCATTGGCCCATGGACCAAAGGGTCTCGGGTTTGATTCCCAGTCAAGGGCCTGTACCTGGGTTGCAGGTTTGATCCCCAGTTGGGGTTATGGGTGGAGGCAACCAATCAATGTGTCTCTAATGTTGATATTTCTCTTACCCTTCCTTCCTCCCTCCTTTCCACTCTATCTAAAAGTCAATGGAAAAATATCCTTGGGTGAGGATTAACAAAAAAAGAAAAAGAGAAAAAGAAAAGATAGGGAAGGAGAGATGCAGGTATATTGAGCTTTGAAAATATCCCGAACCTCCCTTCAACTTCACTCTGCCTTTCTGTTGTGATGTCAGATCCCAAATAGCGTACAGTAAACAGAAATGCTCTTCAAAGACACTTTGCAGGAATGTCTCTAATCCTTGTGTCAGAGAATAGCTGCCTAAATATTGTGTGGGTTTATAGCAATTAGTTATTCAAGAAACTTTTATGTGAATCTAATTATTTTGCTTTTTTTTTTATAGTAGGATATTTCTGCATCTTGAAGATAAAGCAACAATTTTCTCTGCAATAGATGGATTTTTGTAACTTTCTGTGAACTAAAGCTATTCAATGTCTTTTCTGGTAAGTTTTTGTTAACATGGATCTAATTTTGCGCCATCAGAGTAGTTAGATGTTAATGTATCTAACAAAAGGCATATTTTGATGAGATATTTTTTACTGAGATGTTATTTTGACCCAAATGACTTCTTGTTTTAAGAAATGAATTAAATTCTCATTGAGTTGTTGTTTCTTCAAAAAAGAGTTCTCCTAGCCCTGGCCAGTTTGGCTCAGCTGTTAGAGCATCAGTCCATGGACCAAAGAGTCTCGGGATCAATTTTGGTGAAGGGCATGTACCTTGGTTGCAGTTCATCCCTGGCCCTGGTCTGGATGCTGCGGGAGGCAACCAGTCAGTGCGTCTTTCTCACGTGGATGTTTCGCTCTCTCTCCCCCCTCCTCTCTCCCTCCCTCTCCCACTATCTGAAGATAAACAGAAAAATATCCTCCAGCGAGGATTTAAAAAAAAAAAGAGTTCTCCTTTGCTTTCTGATATTCTCATTATTCTGTTCCCTTGACCCATACCCACTTTTTTTTATATATGCTGTACTTGGATATGCCTCTGTCATCCAGTTAGCTATGCCTTATCCTTTACCTCTTTCAAAAATCTCTTTTACAAATTTCCATCTTACTAAAGGCAAGCACATTTAAAATAAGCCCCTTGACTTAAGACTAAAAACATTTGGATCAATGTGTAATATGATATATAGATAACCAATTTGTTTTCTGTTAATATTAGATCCATATCTAATATACTTTAGATATTGGTATCTGTTTTAGGATTTTCATCTTGTCTTATATAGAATACAATACTTGAATATTTGAATTATTATATTAAAGCAGCGATCTTTTCAAAAGTGATGGGTACATTTGTAGGAGGATTTGTAGTTTACAGAAAACGTTCATACGTTCTATCTCTTTCAGTCTTCAGCATTGTGAGTGATTGACAGGGCAGGT